ATACAATTCAAAAAGAAGATTTTCTATACACTAAGCTTTTATTTAAAATGGGTATAATAATTAATGCAGTAAAAGGAAAAAATAATTTATCATGTAGTTTAGTGGGAATAGTAAATTAAATAATTCTATCTACAGAATTCATCCACAGTTTTACATCGCGAATAATAAAAGCGTGGTGGAACCCATGATAAGTTTTTAAAAATAAAGGCTCATACGTTTGACAATATAATTAAATTAATAGGAAATTTAAACAGATAATTGCTTATACATTTGAGAATGCATTTGAATTCATGCATTTTGTTATTTAAGTGCCCCACGCTTTAATTATTTGTGATATGAAATTTTTCATGAATTCTGTAAATAGAATTATTTAATGTATTAATATCATTCAATTGTATGATAAATTATTTTTCTCCTTTTAGTGCACTAATTATCATACCCATTTTAAATAAAAGCGCATTGTGTAAATACATTTTTTATTGTATTTTATTTTCTGTTTTTATACTTATATGTTATCAACGATGAAATTTTTAGTCATTATTGACTAAAAATTTCACAAGCAATAAATTATAAGTGTATACACAAGCAATAAATTATAAGAAAATTATGAAATAAATAAAAATAACTGAACATCGTTCGGAGAATGAACAAATAGCTTTGAATATTTAGTTTCAAAAATTAGACGCAATAACAATGTCACAACGAGCATTTTACTTGAAAAAAATGAATATCGCTTATTCGTTGCTAAGTACGAAAAGATGGCAAATTTCGTCAATAAGGGCGTGAAGATGGCAAACTCAAAAGCAATTTTCCGCACCTTTTTCTCCTGTCTGCTTCAAACTACAAACATTTTATAAAAAAAATATAGAAAATCGCTCAGTTAATATTTTTATTATTCTTGTTTTACAAGAGAGTGAACATTTTGTTTTATAATCTGTGAAATTTTTATATCTAACAAATTTTTTCAGGGTGAAATTTTAAAATCATAAACATAAAAAAATCTAAAAAATCGAGTGATTTTTAAAAATTCATCAAAAACATTTTCATATAAGTTTCCTCGAAAATATTTTTTTCCTTCCTATTTATTAATTTACTTCCCGTACTATTCTTTTCTTTTTATTCTATCTATTAATTTATTTCCTTTCTATTCTATACTTTTATTCTATCTATTAATTTATTTCCTTTCTATTCTATACTTTTTATTATACCTATTAATAATGCCAACAGTAAAATTCTGAAATGCTTAGTTTGTTCGTTAAACGAAGATATGTTAGAAAAATTGTTTGAACATTAAATAAAAAAATCTAAATCGAGTTTTGAAAAATGCTTTGCTATATTACATTGTCATCGACAAACAGTGTGCACACAAAATTTGAATTCGATACTTATCAAGAAGTAGGCTAAAAATCGAAAATAAAATTCTACTCAGAAACACCACGTATGAATTAAATAAAAGCCTAAAAATTCGTCATAAACAAATCTTAAATATTGTTGTTACGTTGATCAACAAATGCTGAATATTATACAAACTGCTAAATATTGTATCATACAACAAATGTTAAATACTTTATCTAATATATTATTTACCTATATTACTGTATTATATAATCTACTTTATCTATATATTTTTATATATTTGTTTTATAAAATTTATTAAAGTAAAATTCACTATTCATATTTTAAAATACGTCTAGGAAATTACCATCTCCTTTATTATGTACATGACAAATTCAGGTAATACTTGATAACAGAGAAATATAGCACGTAAATTTAAATGTTTTAATGCTAAAATATTACCATATTTGATTATGCACCCAAGTGCTCTTAGGTGAACATAATTAATTACCTGAGAATCAATATGATTTCGATCACAAAGCATGAGATGCGGGATTTAAGAATATCCGACACCTTAACGTGGGCTTTTGGAAAGTACTCCCGCAACGTTACCAACAATGCAGAAAATACAGTTTTACAGGTGTTTGTTTCCGATTCTTTTGTTAATAACTGCTCGAAATACAAAACAGGAAGATTTTTCTCGCAAATAGCAACCCATATTTGGAGTTAAAATGTTAACGTATATGTTGCTACAAAGCACGGTTTCATTAAAAATGCCCTTTAATTAAATCCTGCTTTATTTATCAAAATAGTATCTGCTGAAACTAATGAATAATGACCTTCTAGATGTCATTGGGAAGATCTCTCAAAAATCTTATCACCAAAATTTATCTTTCCATTATTATTATTATTAGTGAGTATAAACAGTTTTTTAAATCCTGCATGTGGTAAAAATTATATCTTCTAGCTCTCCAAGATATCCATCTCAGATTCAAAAAGAAAATTTCTTTTTGAAATTAAAATTCTGAAATTTGTTATGTTTTAAATATTTCTGTGCTTAATTTACATGCATTTCGATAGATGGGAACGAATTAGTTAATTTTTTGTTCTATAGCATTAATTTCTTTGCCCTGATCAGAGCAACAAATACCATTCAGCTGATAATGCAAGAACACCAAAAATTTAACTTTTTATTTTTATAAACATCCATCATTCTGCTTCCATACTTTCTATATTTCGCTGAAAAGAAGATCTTCAAAGCAAACCTTTCCTATTTTTATCAAATTATTAAAAACCTCTAAGACCTCTATTAAATGTTTGTGGTTTTCATTTCACAGATTTCGTGTCCTTGCGAGAGAGCTATTGCAACTTGAGGGAAACACAAATCATTTTCCTAAAATTTTGATCGAATAATAATTCTAAGTATCATTAATAGTTTACAGGTACATTAATTCTTTAGCTAATATATTTATTACAGCTGCTTAGCATAAAACTATTGAAGATTTGAAATGCAATCTATAAACTGAAATCATATAGTAAATTATTTTTAATCTTAGGATTTTTATATTTGTTAAGATAGGATGGATTTTAGCTTCTTCTTTACTTCTTTTTTTTTTTAGCTTAGGATTTTGGCTTCTTTAAAATGTTAATGGTAACTTTTGAAAGTATTAGACCAAAATTTGAAGTTCACAGATTGGAAATTTTATTTTCTTCCTTTGTTATTATAAAATTTTAATAACAGTTTTAAGAAAGATTCCTTTCTATTCCTGTAATGAAGTTTTTGTATTGCATGTCAATAGCGAAACTTTTCATTAAAACCTTTCGTCGGTTTTTTCCACCGAGATATTTATTAGCTTAAAGGTGCATTAGCTCAGAAGGGCTATAAGTCTCAAAGCAGCCTTTTGCGTCACACTATAAATGTCCGTTTTACTTTTCAAATTTCTGCCACCATATTATCGCCCTGTATTATATTTAAAGAAATTAAATAATGAAGAATCTGCATGAATGTATGAATGTTTTTCGCACTGTGAAAAAACAACGGCACCTAGAGCCATTGAATTTTGAATAACTTGAATAATAGTCCTCTACCCGAATATGGGCACCTGGCATTTGGAATTTCGAATTTGTTTTATTGTCTACTGCATACTTTGTGAAACTGTAACTAATGTTTTATTTACAAAAACTCAATGATTTCAAAGTGAGCAATGACAAAACTGTACAAAAAACACCTTTTTATCTCCAGTGCGAGAGACTGTCTATCGGAAATTCTAAATATTTTAGCCCAAAAGGACATTAGCTCAGATGCTCTCGAAACGTGTATAGTGTAAATGAAAGAAACGCCTCTTTGGAAGTAATATAAAATCGGAATGCTTTCAGATTTTTTTTGTTCCATTATATTCAAACAAAACTGGAAACAGTATCTGATTTAAATTTTGTACATTATATTGATTCAGGCCCCACAGTCTATGGATACATACACTAAAGAAAATCGAAAACGTCATACAGGAAAGCTGTAGGTCAGTTTTATACATATCAGTATTCAATATATTACTAAATATGTCATCTACCAATATCCACTGCTGATTGTTAACCACAGTCTGTAACATGATCTCTATCGCTGATTTACATTAGTAATCAAACGCCATACCTTTATCAAAACAGTCATATTGTATTTTCTGTGTAGTACTTTTTAAACCATGATACCACTGATTAATATAGCTAATTAAACGTGGATACGAATGTATACCGAAAACATTAATGTTGATAACTGGTGATTAGTAATTCTATAGCTGCAGCTTTAGGAACTAATGCTTTTATTTCATAAACTCTCCCGCATAATTTGAAATGTAATCATGTTACATAAATAACATTCCACTCTTTATCTCCGCAAAAAAGGGCTTAATATAACAACTTTAATTTTAAACATGATACGTTTCATATACAACAGGAAAATCAATTGTAAAAGATGATAAAAACGTAACAAAGGTAACACGTTTTGTGATAAAATGCGTGGGGGAATGCGAAAAGCGAATGCGGAAACAGTTGTTGTTGTTGTTGTTGCTGTTGTGACTAATCTCGCTTGTCTGGTATCAGAACAAGCCGAAGAAAATTCATCGCGGCAAGGAGGTAAGATTGCGCCTGTCATTGGCAAGAGCCTTTGATACCATATAGGTTTGAAAGAGAGCAGGCCTCGGTCATGGGTCCGAGGATTTTCCAGTCCTCTTCCCCTATCACCAACGTCTAGAGAGAACTTTCGGCTCGCCGCAAATTTAGAGTGCCCCCATGCCAAACATACCCTATAAATTTACAAACATCCATGCCTTTCTAGAATTTGAACCTGGCCCCCTTCAGTTCTCGGGTCCGGGCAGCTGGATGGCAGCAAAAATCAACGGATGCTCTGGATAATGGTGGATGTGGTGCTGTACTGATTAACCACTATGGTAAAGGAACGGTGTCCGCGTCCTCCATCACTCACTCCCTCTCACTCGGTTCGATAGTCAGAGTCACTAGTCACTATCCCGAATGGGTGGCATGCTGAAACAGTAAATACGAAGAACACGGTAAACGTAAAATCGTTTTAGTCACTCATATTTACAAGAAATAATGCTTGATATTTACAAAAATTGTTCAAATGAACGAATACTATCTGCAATGCAAACATCACAATGACGACGAAACGACTAACGCATGCTTTGGAAGAAGATACCCGAAATGTCGTGTACCTCTGCAACATCGACGTTAATGCTAAAGACAAAATCTTCAGCAGAATCGATCGACGTCTGGAAAACGAGACTTTTCAGACACTTGAGGAAACAAAATCCAGGCGGAAAAGATGCTACGATCTAAGGTCTAAGGGACCAAAGATAGGATTTTTGCCATCAATCCATCAGCGCGGAAAATTTATTCAGATTGCTTTGCACATCCATTATGTTATGGACCAGTGCTCCGTCGTGCTGGAACGAGTTCACCAGGACATTAGTTGCAGTGAACTTGCAGTAAATCAGGCAGGGCTTTCTCATAGAAAATATGGTTTATCTTGTTCCAGGATGCTCGGGGTAAGTAATCGTAGATAAAACCCATCCTTACATTATCCTAAATATCATACATTTTTATTGTAAAATTACGTGATTTAAAATGACTTTTCGTTTTCCATGTCCCTCATACTTACTATTTTCCGCATTTACATTTCACATTCCTTGTTCTACCACGCGTGGTATTATAAAACTGTTACTTTTACCATGATCTATTGCCCCTTAAATTTGCGATCATCTTTTTTATTGCACTCTGTATATGTTAAACTACAACTTTCCAAATATTAAATTACACCTAAAATGTAACCCCAAACTTGTGAGAATTTAGTTTAGGTCTTTACTGTCCTTTCCTACTTCAATCACGAAAATTGTTCTTTCCAGGAATTTGATACAGATTTTAAGTGGCAAGCATCTGGGTATTTGGAATCGTAGTGAGTGAGCGAGAAAAGGAGGTAAGTTAAGAATTAGCGGATTTAGGAACGGCTGATGGTAAGTCATTGCATGTCAGAAGGGTTCAGCATAACAGCTACTCAAATGGTGAGCTGCAATTAAAATTTAAACTCGTTTTTATAAGCTAGGGAAATTGAGTTTCCTATTATATTAAATAGAATTATGAATACTTCGAGCTTAAAATTATATTCTACATTTAATGTAAAGTCTGATGGACTTTGCCTTGTAATATTAAGCTAAAGTACAGGTCTATGAAAGCTAATTTAACTTCATTCAGTGTTTCTGTTGTGAATGAATTTCGCTTCACTTCCCTTACGAAAACTTGTGATAAGAGATCCTTTGATACCTATTAGGACTCACGCATAGTTGTAAGTTGATTCTTGTTGCATGCAAATACTTCAAGTTTAATACAAATGTCATACTGGTATCCTTCGTGAATAATTAACTTTGTGAATATACTAGCAGTAAGGTAAAATTAAACTAGTGTAGAACTATGTAAAATAAAATGAAGTAGTGATCAGTTTAGAATCTGCTTCAATATAGTGAAACAATTATTAAAACTTGGGCTGTATTTTAACGGTATTCCGTACAATTAGTAAAATGTCTCAAAGGGCAAGTGAAACAATGAAATGAAATCGATTAGCTTCAGCTAGATTCGACTCCTAGGCAAACGAAAGACCCTTTAGAGGAATTTTAGAGTAAGTGTCTAGAAATATTCCGAGCAGCCGTAAAGCCAAACATAAATTTGGATGGATAGAGATCGGTTGCAGATATTGTGAAAAAGTTAGAAATTCATTTTTTTCTGTATGAAGTACCGAATCCTCAGAAATTATTATATTGGTAAAACCGTAGAGGTGTCTTTCGGTTCAACGATCCATACATACGAAAGTTTTACATAGATCGTGTTAAAAGCGTTTCCGACCGTACGTAATAAGGTCGAATTAGAAAACGAATTATATAATAGATTTCAAATCGAGGGCAAGGAATTGATAAAATTTATTGTAGGAAATATTGAAATTTGTAGATTGTTCTACGGCTACGAGAACGAAATTAAAATCTTAGAAACAGTGATTCCGTGACTGTTGCCAAAAATACAAGATTTATTCAAATTACAAATCCAGAATCATTAAATGAGCTCTTTGAGTTCGCCATGAAACACGAAAGTCAAAAGTTGAAAATAAATACCGGCTAAACAGAGAAACTTTTCCCAGTCGTGTTTTCCACAAGAACAGAGAGCGGCTTAGGAAGTTTACCGTGAAAAGTCAAGAAAACAGTGTTCCCCAAAGACGCGAGAAGATGAAAAATAATAGTGTCAGGAGCAAAAAAATCTTCTCAACTTGAAGGGGTAAACGCAATTATGGTGAAAAGTTTGAAACTTTCTTATTTGCAAGTATTGTTGAACGGTGTGTGAAGCTTTAATTTCTTCGAAGAGTAAAAAAAGTTTTGTCTCAGCTCCATTTTTCTATAAGTACTTTCACAAGTGCAAGATGTTTAAGTGAAGGGAACGGAAGCGGGCATCGAGAATGCGAAGCGGTAAGTAGCTTAAAATTAGATCTGGGAGCTAAAATTGAATTGCACAAAACGTTCTTCTTAGTATTGAAAGGACTGCAAGTAAATGTGATATTGGGAGTCAATTTTTTACAAAAAGTTAACTCTGAACTGGAGTTTAGTGAAATTACCATATCATTAGGCATACGGGAAATTACTATGAACCGCCACCTTTTTCAAATGTTGAGTTAGATTAGTTTTCCGAAGAAGAAACAATATGAGAAAAAATTAATGGAAAACAAATAAAGAAAGAATGAATGTATGCTCACGAAATAATGGATGTCATGAAAGAGTACGCTGAACTTTTTAGTGATAAACCTGGTCTCACTCACGTAATAAGTCACAAAATAAATATAGGAGAAAACGGACCATGTAAACCGAAACCTTATAGATGTGACGCCATGAAGAAACAAATTATAGAAGAACATAAGAAACACATGCTAGAAAATAAAATAATTACTCCGGTATAAAGTCCATGAGCGAGGCCCGTGGTATTGTGTAGGAAAAATGAATGATTATCTGGTCACGGATTAACGTTCCAGGAGGTTGGCGGTAGACTACAGAAAACTGCAAAATACCCGGTTTATCAGTTGCCGATTACAAAAAGATAATAAGGAAAATAAACTGTACAAATTATAACAGCAAATTACACTTGATACCAGGTTATTTTCATGTCGCTGTTAAACCCGAGGATGTGATTAAGACAGCTTTTATTACAAACTCAGGTGTTTATGAATTTGTTTGCCATTTGGCGTAAACGATAGCTCAGTGACGTTTCAGTGGACAACGGATATCGTATTAAAACCGATGCTGGGTAAAAAATATTTTATTTATTTGGATGATGTAATATCAACATCAGAGTTGTTGAAAAATCACGTTAAAGCTCTTTGGTAAGTGTTTTCACTATTAAAATATGCCGAACTAAAAGTAAATGCCGAAAAACGCAAATTTACCTGCAAGAAATTAAGAAATTTTAGGTTCAAAATAACAGAAATAGAAATAAAAACGAACGAATAAAAAAGTCTTGCAGTCAAGAATATTGCTAAATTGTTAGCATCATTTCTTGAATTGTATTCCTATTACAGAATATTCATAAAGAGATTTTTTGGCATCATTGGATCTCTGTCGGAGCTAAAACATAAAAAGATTATATTTAGATGGTCAGAAAAAGCAAACAAGGAATTTAAGGGCCTTAACCAAGCTTAGACTTCAACCCCGTATTAAAGGTCCTAGGATTATTGAATAGGAGAGGTATTAATGCAAAACGATCTAGTAATAGAATTTACAGTATGATAATGGATTATACAGATATCAGTTATATAGCTGGATATGCGTGGTTAAAACCGTCAGAGCTTATATTTCGAAAAAAAAAACAGTAAAAATATGTACAGACCATGTGGCCTTGGCAAAATTAGAAAATGCAAATAATTTAATAGCTAGGATGATATGATGAACATTAAAATTGCAAGAATATAAACTCAAACTTTAACACAGCTCAGGAGAAGGTCTTCGAAGCAATCCCTAAAACGCAGTCTGTCGACTAAGAATAAATTGTAACATCTTAACATCTGTAATCTTAGATTCGAGGGAAACATTAGTTACAAAAATACAAAGAGACCCAAAATTCTGGCAAATCTACGCATATTTAAAATATTCTGAAAATTTTCATTCAGTTAATGAAATCGAAATTAAGGTTACAGGTGAACAGGTGAGAGCAGGTCCGAACACCCGGGTGGCTCACATACTGATCGGGTGTTGTCCGGATCCCGCAGCTGTCTAAAGTAGCAATCGCCGGTATTCTATAAGAGTCGCATCAGACGTTTGTTCAATTTACATTCTACATAGCTATTGACATTAATACGAATAATGCATTAATTACAATGACAACAAATTAAACGCATAATACAGATTATGCGAAATATGTGAGCATTATACAAAGCACAATAAAAAATTACTCAAACTACTTCATAACAAAAATTACTAATTACTTTAAAAATACTTTAAATGTGGAATACAGGATACTATGTTCATTGGGTTGCAACATGATAAATTCAATATACATTCAATATACATATATATATATATACTATTAATTAACTACATTTTACAATGCTCGTCACACATTACATTTAGGGCAGTAGTTCTTTAACTGGACTCGGCGAGGATTATATTGATGCAGATTGTATTAAGAACAATGCTATAGAATACTCAGTTAGGATTACTGTCATTTATTTAAGACATGGATTAAGGTGCTACAATCAGAATGTGCAGTAATATATATGCTATTCACTATATGCTCTTCAAGTTACAATTATTGTGTATCTTCATTAGAGTCACCTTCTGTCGGTAATATCGCCTTTGTATATAGTACTAAAATTATCATGCTTCATTGTGTCTGCCAATTATACTTGTACTCAATCTCAATACTACTTGCTCATGACAGCTATTCTCACTAATGTGTTATTAATACTACAGTCATTTTGCTTCATTACAGACGGTACTATATTCATTGTGTGCAGTAATGTTATATACAGGGCATATACTATTCACTATACATCTTTTTCATTACACAGGAACACACTAATCAGAATGATACAGGTCCGGTCCTAGTGCCTCTAATTTATCCATTAAAGTTTTTTTTTTTTTTTAATTTCTTAAGGACGGTCGTCTGCTTGATAAACAATCGCTTAAATGGGTTATCAGTGTCTGACAACCGCATTTATTACGCTTCTGTGAGCGGGGAATTAAAAGCACAGCCTTACATTACGAGATGATTGATAATATTTTGTTTTCTAATAACGTCATAAATAAAAATTCAGAATTAACAGCGGTTGTTCCAGTCCGTTTAGCTTTGGTAATACTGTGCAAATTACATGATAATCCAATTTGGACACACATGTGTGTGTGGAAGACTATCCAAAGAATTATAAAAATTGTGGGGTTTTTTTCGAAATTACAGAAAATTACGAAAGAATACGTTCAGAGCTGTATAACATGCCAAAAATCTAAATGCTTAAATTTTACTA